TAACTGCCTGTCTCCTGGAATCTCCTCCATGCTCTTGAGACTGTGCTGGGAGACCCAGCAAACCTTCTGGCAATGGCATGTATTGATGTGCCATCCTGGAGGAGTTAGACTGCTGTACAACCTCTGTAGGGTCCAGGTATTGCCTCATGCTACCAGTAGCGACACTGACCCTAGCCAAATGCAAAACTAGTGAAAAACAGTCAGAAAAGATGAGTAGGGAAAAAAATGTCAGTGGCCTCCACCTGTAAAACCATTCCTGTTTTGGGGGTTGTCTCATTGTTGCCCATCTAGTGCTCCTGTTGTTAATTTCATTAACACCAAAGCAGCTGAAACTGATTAACAATCCCCTCTGCTATTTAACTGACCAGATCAATATCCCAGGAGTTTAATTGACTTGATGCTATACTCTGATGTTCCTAAAAGTGTTCCTTTAATTTTTTTGAGCAGTGTATACTGTATGTGATACAGCAAATCAGCCTATTAGAATGATTTCTGAAGGATCATGTAAGACTGGAGTAATGGCTGCTGAAAATTCAGCTTTGGAATAAATTACATATTAAAATAGGAAAGTTATTTTAAATTGTAATATTATTTCACAATATTACTTTTTTGGATGCATTTTAAATACATGTTATTTGATGATGAGCATAATGTTATCAAAAGCATTGAAAATATCATGCTGACCTTGAACTTTTGAATTCTGTGTATCTCAGAGAATATCTTCTAGTTATTTCAAATCTACTCTGTGGATGTTCTGTAGATATTTTTTAACAAGCTGTAGACAGATCTTTGTCCGTTTTGTTTGCATGCCTCCCGTGTGATATGCTCACAATGAACTCTGTATTTGTCTCAGGTTCACTCCAGAAGCCAAGGCCAGCCGGCACCCGTTTGTGTATCTGCCGTTTGGAGCAGGGCCACGCAGCTGTGTAGGCATGAGACTGGCCCAGCTGGAGATTAAAATGGCTCTGCTTCACATATTTAGGCGGTTTAATGTGATGGCCTGCGAGGACACTGAGGTTTGTTATTGTTACACTGAAAAACTGCAGCTGTAGTATGCATGAAGATTCTGTTTTCCACATATGTGGAGGTTTCCTGAGATATGGTCTATATTTTCTATTTATGTCACACAGGTTCCTCTGGAGTTGAAGTCGCACACCACCCTCGGACCCAAGAATGGTATTTTGGTCAAAATCACCAAGAGGGAGAATTTTGAGGATGAGTCCTGATAGATTTTAGTGGTCAGCTGGACAGTCTGATTCTAATCAAATTATTTAGAAATCTAAACTCTTATTCTGGAATCACCTGACGACTAAATCATATGCATCTGTGCTACTCATTTAAATTAAATGCAATTCAACACTATTCATTTACGACTAAGGCACAGATGTACACAGAGCAATGCATCACACAGTACATAATGTGGATATTATTCTAGTGAACACTATCAGCCTTTATATTTCTCATCTCAGATCAGCAACATAAGAGTGATCATTACTATAAGAAACCACCCAGATGACTAACAGCACATATGCACATTTTGTTACTAAAGCCAATGAAATGTAAGTCCCTGCAATGTAAGTAAATACAACAAATTATATGGAAGAAAATCAGTTTTGATTTAGATGTAAATGATTTGATAGAAGGAACTGGGATTGGACACGTCTTGCCTTATTGCCAGCGAGATATTTGAACTTCTGATGATTACGCTGTTATTTGACATATTTTATATTACATTAAGCTGCAATGAAGTTCCAGAATGATGTGATTTTTAAGGTTTGGGTGTACAGATTGTGCTACAATGTGATTGTTTACTCAGGGTATGAACTGTATAAACACTAAATGATTTGAAATCAAAAGTATTACTTAATAAATGGTTTATCAGTCAGAATATATGTAGTTATCTTCAATTATACATTTCATTTAATATCAAGCATCTTAGATTAACACATCAAAGGAATGTATAAATGTTATGATTTCGGGAGCTTTAAACCACAGAGCTTTTAGAGGTTTGATTAACAGAAGAACTCTTTGAGAGCTAGTCTTGGTAAATAAAAATCTAGCGTAGCGTTAGTTCTGGCAGGTCACGTTAGTCAAGCTCGCATCAGCTGATCCCCATCAACCTATGGGAATACGACACCTATCTAAGCATTCATATATAAGGTCCCTCAGTATTATCAGCAGTTTTCGCATTGCTCAATAGCTAATTACACTCCTCCATCCCCAGCTCCTCCTCTGTCAGTCAGGATTCAGCCTTCTGATTCTCCTTTGAATCAGACTAATTCTAAAATGTGTACATAACATTATTGAACTTTAACGATATCTGCAATACATTTATGTTGGTTCTGTTTACCCTGGGGGGTCATCGCTGCTCTCCCTGCTCTCATCCATGACAGGCTGCATGGAGGCGCAGGGAGTTCTTGCCCAGAACAGAACCATACCGCCAATCCAAACTGTATGCTAATTGTCAATCATCTTTGACGATAGTGGTCCTGACAGAAATGAAGATTTGCTGGAAATGTCCTCACCCTCAAGCCATCCAGGATGTAGATGAGTTTGTTTCTTCATCAGATTTGGAGAAATGTATGTGGTGAACGGCCAGCTTCTGCCTAAAGGATCATCTCTGGAAATCGCTGCAGGTTTCCTTCACTATGACCCAGAGCACTGGACCGAACCTGAGAAATTCATCCCGGAGAGGTGAACTGTCTTGAAGTCATTTTTTGGGAAGAAATTTATACTTTTTTTTTTTATTCAGCAAGGATGCATTATATTGATTAAAAGTAACAGTCAAGGCATTAATACTGTTACAGAAGATTTCTGTTTCAAATAAATGCTGTTTGTCAGAACGTTCTGTTTATCAAAGAATCCAGAATTAAATCAATCAAAATACAAGGCAGCACAACAGTTTTCAACATTGATAATAATAAGAAATGACTGGAGTAAAGGCTGCTGAAAATTCAGCCATCAGGAATAATTACATTCAAAAATATCTTCAAATCACAATATTAGTTTTTGCTTTATTTTTGATCAAATAAATGAGCCTTGTTAAACATAATGTTATCAAAACCATTAAAAAAAATCTGACTGACCTTAAACATTTGAACAGTAGTGTATATCTCACAGTATATCTTGTAATTATCAACTCTGTGGCTGTTCTATAGATATTTTTTTTAACAAGCTGTACACAGATCTTTCTCCATTTTGTTTGCATGCCTCCCATGTGATGTTCTCACAATGAACTCTGTATTTGTCTCAGGTTCACTCCAGAAGCCAAGGCCAGCCGGCACCCGTTTGTGTATCTGCCGTTTGGAGCAGGGCCACGCAGCTGTGTAGGCATGAGACTGGCCCAGCTGGAGATTAAAATGGCTCTGCTTCACATATTTAGGCGGTTTAATGTGATGGCCTGCGAGGACACTGAGGTTTGTTATTGTTACACTGAAAAACTGCAGCTGTAGTATGCATGAAGATTCTGTTTTCCACATATGTGGAGGTTTCCTGAGATATGGTCTATATTTTCTATTTATGTCACACAGGTTCCTCTGGAGTTGAAGTCGCACACCACCCTTGGACCCAAGAATGGTATTTTGGTCAAAATCACCAAGAGGGAGAATTTTGAGGATGAGTCCTGATAGATTTTAGTGGTCAGCTGGACAGTCTGATTCTAATCAAATTATTTAGAAATCTAAACTCTTATTCTGGAATCACCTGACGACTAAATCATATGCATCTGTGCTACTCATTTAAATTAAATGCAATTCAACACTATTCATTTACGACTAAGGCACAGATGTACACAGAGCAATGCATCACACAGTACATAATGTGGATATTATTCTAGTGAACACTATCAGCCTTTATATTTCTCATCTCAGATCAGCAACATAAGAGTGATCATTACTATAAGAAACCACCCAGATGACTAACAGCACATATGCACATTTTGTTACTAAAGCCAATGAAATGTAAGTCCCTGCAATGTAAGTAAATACAACAAATTATATGGAAGAAAATCAGTTTTGATTTAGATGTAAATGATTTGATAGAAGGAACTGGGATTGGACACGTCTTGCCTTATTGCCAGCGAGATATTTGAACTTCTGATGATTACGCTGTTATTTGACATATTTTATATTACATTAAGCTGCAATGAAGTTCCAGAATGATGTGATTTTTAAGGTTTGGGTGTACAGATTGTGCTACAATGTGATTGTTTACTCAGGGTATGAACTGTATAAACACTAAATGATTTGAAATCAAAAGTATTACTTAATAAATGGTTTATCAGTCAGAATATATGTAGTTATCTTCGATTATACATTTCATTTAATATCAAGCATCTTAGATTAACACATCAAAGGAATGTATAAATGTTATGATTTCGGGAGCTTTAAACCACAGAGCTTTTAGAGGTTTGATTAACAGGAGAACTCTTTGAGAGCTAGTCTTGGTAAATAAAAATCTAGCGTAGCGTTAGTTCTGGCAGGTCACGTTAGTCAAGCTAATTTACTGTAAAAAAGGGACAGTTCTTTCTTGGCCAGAAAAGCCTTGTCTTGTCACAAGATCCGTTTTCCAAGACTTCACTTCTCAGTTTAACCACTAGAGGTCACAGTGACTAGAGAATTTACAATATCTGTGATTTCCTGGTTAAAGGCAGAGTAAGTGATTTCTGGTAGCCAATGTTGATATTTGAAATTGCTTCCTTTTGCCTGTGTCTTAATCTGTGATTTTGTTTTGGGTATTAAGTGCTGCAAATCGTTCCTAGTTGTTTGTCAAACTGTATTGTTTGTAGCTGTGCTGTACTTTGCATATCAGCCTTTTCCCAAAGGTCCAGGAATGTGACGGGTGAAAACAGTAAGCAAAAGTTCCAAGTCAAATACCAGCTGAAAGACTGATATGTATTTAAAGGGATAGTTCACCCAGAAACTTTTGTTTTTATGTACTTAGCCCAAACACAGAAGGTGGATGTCTTTATGCAACATAGAACTGGACCATACGACTCTTACACTATATTTCAAGCTCTCCGAGTCTGAACATAGATGATAACTTTTTGTGAAAAATAGACTTACCGATATTTAAGTTGTAGACATCCACCCTAGTTTTTCTTAGCACATTCATGAGAGAAGTAGCCATTTTTGTTATGTTGATGATTTTTTTTATCGACTGATCCTATTATTATTATTGTAAAAAATAAAATGTATTTTTTTTTTTAAATTGAAGTTGAAGTTTAACTCACTATTGACTTGATCCAACCTCGCCTGTTTCTGATAAAATAATTTCTTTTCTTTTTTTTACAATAATGAAAATAATAGTTTGTAACAGTATCAGTACTTTAATTCCATCCACCTCATTCAACAACATGAATTACATAAAAATCTAAATGGGCATGAGTAATGCTCAGTATTCATACAACTGTAACTAAATCATTTACTTTTCATACTGTGTTTTTATCTAGTGCAATAAAATGGATTATTTATTGATTGATAGTTAGTTGTAAGCTTTTGGCTATACAATTGATTAGGAATTTCTTAAAACTCTTTTTTTTCAGTGCCATAGCCAACAAGGAAATACAATCACTGCAGTTAATACATAAATACCTCTACATAAAATCCTGCTATTTTGTATTTACCATTTTTACTACACAGTGGAGTGTCACAGAGGATTTATTAGTAAAATTAATTATGATAAAACACAGTTACCCATTACGTAATCCCTACAAATTTTACTTAAAAGAAGATGCCCAAGAGTTGTATATTTTGGTTAAGTTCAGTGATGTTAACATAAATCGTCTGTGTAACAGGACTTTCAAGAAATATGTAGACAAGGAGACCTTTACTATACAAATTAAGAGTATTCAATAATGTACTCAGGATAGATCTGGAATTTCTCAAACACAACAAAAATGGCTGGGTTAGTCTCATTGTCAACACAGCTGTCATAAAAGCTTTGAGTGTTGGGTTTCTGTGGAGGATGGACTAAAGTATTGTTACCCCTTGTGAAGTTTCCCACCAGCACCAGTGCCACGAACATCTTCTTGGTCTTGCCGTTCCTGGATTTTGCATATCTGTCAGAGTATGAAGCATCTCTGGCAAAATAGCTGCCTGTAAACAAAAAAATAAATAAACATCTAAAAATGTCCAATGTTTGGGAACGCATTCAATAATAACTCTTTGATTGTAGGCTACATGACAAGAACTGTTATACATATATGTAAATACCTTTCCCATAAAGTGTCCCGTGACTTCCACAGATCCTCCAGTCAAAGTTTTGCTCACAAATTGCTGCTATGAGAGACTCATCTGTACCATGGAAAAGGTAACGCTGGTCAACTGCACTCCCTCCATTTCTCTTATTCATCTGTTCTTTTTGCCTAGGAAAAAACATGGTATAATGGATTAATCAGATCAATAAATAGAGTGTACCATATTGAAAATACTACTAATAATTATCTGCTAAAAATTTAAATATTTATTAATAAGTGTACATTGTACATTATACAAAGTGTATTTATGCATTAAGTGTATTTAAACCAGACTTATAAATATTACTATTAAAAAATACATTATTTTATATGTTTGCATAATAAATACATTGTATATAATGTATTTATAATTAAATATAAATATTCATATTAAATGTTATTACATTCATAATAATGTCACAAAAAAGCTATATTTTTCAGATTAAGTATTTGTTTACGTTCTCATCACACATAGTTAATGTGTTGAACTCATAGGCGTAATTTGCGGGTGGGACGGCTGGGACATGTCCCCACCACTTTTTGCCAGGGTCGATATTGTCCCTACCACTTTTTGAAAGTAATTGAAAAATATAGGCAAGTAAATTCCCCAAGTAAATTAAGTTATTAAATAAAAAACTAGCAAAACGAGTTGCGCGGTGTCCCCACCACTTTTCAAAGCAAAGTTACGCCACTGGTTGAACTACATCTGTGTGATCTTGAGGAGAACTGACTTCATACACCCACCCGAATGGCTCAGAAAAGTCAAGTTAGTTCTGACAAAAGCTCTAGCATCATTTGTTTGAAGATCAAAAAGATACATAGTATAGCTGAAGTACTGTATGTAATGGCCTTGTGCAAATAAACTTTCTTCCAGTAAAGTCATGCTGTTGTTGTTTTTCTAGTAGTGAAATATGAACAAACGTACCACTGAAAGACCCTCCAGAGAGAGAGATTCTGCACTCTTTCAATGCTGTGAATGATGCTTCTGGGCAGTGTTCTACTAAACATTGAGCTCACCCTTTGGTATTCCTTGGAAAAGCTTTGTAAAGGATCAGTCTGAGGAGAGTCAGGAAACAAACTGGTTTCGTTTCAGACATTCAGTACTGTTATGGTACAGATGACTGTTGGTGTCTGATGCTTTCCAACAAACGTATAAACTTTGTGATGTTCCTCATTTGTAAGTCGCTTTGGATAAACTGCTAAACAGTAAGAGTAGAAGTACTGATCTTCATCTATAACCCTAAGTACAGTACAGAATTGATTTCCAAAGTGCTTAATAACTACTTGACCTCCCTGTACTCAGTGTCATTGGAATATGTACCTTGTAGGTGAAGTTATCAAGAGCTCCTTTGTCCCAGTAAGGTGGAACTTCCACAGAAGAAGATGCTGAGCTGTCTGGAGACTCACTTCTAATTAAAACACAATACACTAAAGTGCACTGAACAACTAATAAATCCTGTTTAATATGTGTGCATGTAATGGACAAATGGTACAGTATATCATACCCCTTGATTTTGCTCTTGACATCTTGGGCAGAAACAAAACGTGGTCTCCTTCTAACGTCTCTTTCAGTTTTGTACTTCAGATTTTGCTGGCACATCTCTGAAAATGATTTGCCATTATGTGCTTTTGACATTGTTTTTTTCTATTTAGCTTCAATTTATTTTTATTTTAGTTTTAATAATTAAAAAAAAACTAAAATTATTTTGTTTAATGTTGCAAAAGCAACATTTCTAATGTTCATTTAAGTTTTTCATCTACTATTTCACGAAAGAAAAAAAAATTGTTTTAGTTAACAGTAATAACACTTAAGTACCTTTAAATCTGAGGATGTATTGATGGTTCTGTGAAGTGAATGAGATTTCCTTTTCATTGTCAGCCAGGTACTGTTTCTCAAGATCTTCTGAAGTGACTGACGCCACGAGTTTAGAATCTTCCTGTAAGATTCAAACAACAACTGTAACAATAGAAATGTAGTTAAAAGCTAACTGATTTTGGTATAATATATTGACAAATAATTGCTATTCTACGTCATGTTAAATGTAACATTACAGATGATTTTTCAAACTCAGGTTCTAGAATTGCTTCTGAGAGGTATTATGTTGAAAATGTGTCACTGACCCCTTTGCCATACTCTGTCCAACCTCCTTTGTCATTCCTCCAGTACCAGATCCATTCAGTGGTCAGAATGAAGTGAGGGGGTTTAGTAACAGAAGACGCTGTGGACAGCCGACGCACTTCTGACACTCCACATGTCATTGACATAAAGTTAACCACTAATTGGTGCCCTGTGCTGCTCTTAGTAATACTGTAACATGGAGAACACAACAGGAGTGGAAAGCGGTGTTAAAAAGGCAAGACAAGCCACTATACAATTACTGGCCACTTCAGATACACAGATACACAGATACCCCTTAATAATAAAGTTGCATTTTGCAAATAAAGATACGAATACAAAAAGTTTAAAATCATGTACACTCACATCACATCAATAACCTAATAAAAGCATTTTAATTTACATATTGAGATCACATGACCAGCTGAATACGACAATTTTTTCCCAGTAACCGTTCCTTATTGGACACTTGCTATCACAGAATTGATTAATCACAGCTGACAGTGCATTTCTGCAGTGGCATCGGTAACTGGGATGTGATGGAATGATAGATTTGCAATATGAATGCTATCTGAAAACCCATTAAAATACCACCGAGTATATATATGAGTATTTATACCACAAAGTATTAGCTGGACTGCAGTACGCCTTCTCAAACTCCTCTTCATTTGGCAAGTCTCCCCACGTAATCCCATCCTTCTGTGATATCTGCCATTTATAGGGTAGATGGTGGTGAAAACGGACACACTTGTCTAGAGGAACATAAATAATGGGATGGTAAAGAAAACACACTTAAACAAATATTTCTTGCTTAACTTAAAGGGGTTCTCAACCATTGTTGGTCTCAACCATGCCCTCCTGTAACAGAATTAAGCGGTGTTATTTTAATTGATATGCTATTGTAGTTTTATTCATATTTTGAATTAGATT